TTACTGCTAATAATAATAATTCCAAAAAAAAAATATCACCGGCAATTATTACAGATTATTTCTTTTCAAGATCTGAGTCACCAATTGTTGTATTATTTTTTTCGTGCCAAAATCCCCGTCGCCAATTTGTTATGATTTGATGTCCGGCTTACGATCACGTGACTTATACACCAATCAGAATACGGCTTATACGAATATTCTCACTATGACAGGGCCAATGACGTTCAACCGGTCTGAGCAGTCTAGCGTCCTATTGGGTCCTACGTCCTTCTAACCTGTCCTCTTGAGTCCAGAACACAAAAGCAGCTTCCGAATCAACCAAATCGTTTATTTCAGACATACTCGGTTTATATATCAATCAGGCAGACCACAACGTACCATAAAATAGAAAATAACATGTGTACACAAATAGGCCAAAAAGTGGCTGTGAATGTGGGAGACAGTAATTAATAGACAGGTTATAACTCAAGAATAATAAATCGTATAGTAATAATCTATGGGTCAAAATAAAGCTTATAATAAGTGGAATATAAATACACATAATGTAATTCTTGAATAATTATACAATAAGAATATTTATAGAATATTTGTCCATTAATAGTCCTCAAAAGTTACCTGTAGTTTAATCTTCACTGGTATATAACAGAGGGGTGAGACAGTGGGGAGAGACGATGTATTTCGAGTAATGATATGTCAGTATGTGGATCCTTTTACTCTGAAAAAATATGTGGTTATGAATTCGTTTAGATAATGCATTATTATCGATATATATATATATATATATATATATATATATATATATATATTCGTTTAATGTTATCCACAATAATGAAAGCATCAGGATAATTATATCTAGGGTATTAAAGAAAAGATTTTAACCATTATTGTATTGTAAACAAATCATTCAAATATGAATTCACCTATACTTCCATGTATAAAAATAACAGTAAATTTAAGTAGTATGATTAACAAAGGAATACTGTGACCAAATTATATTCACAATTTTGGATGGACTTTTGAATGGAACTATTAAGTAACTTGAGCCTGATTAGTGAGCGTAAAGTTTTCAATGAATTTGAAATTATAATTTGCTGGGATAAAATTCAACAAAGAATATGTGCTACTTAAATAAAAACAAAGTAGTTTAAATATTATTTGAAAAGTGTTTTTGCAAAATTGAAACACATTTACGTCTTGATTGTAAAAACACTGATTAATAACTTTTCAGATATTTAATTATTGATGCAATGTGGTGTGATGTGTTATGATTGGTGTGGTGAGTAGTGGGTTTATTGTGATTATGTTTTGTATATGACGGTTGTAGTGATGGTTGGTGTTGTTTGATTACGTTTGTAAATAGATAAGTGAGACGTAATTTGGTGATGATAACTTGCCCTCTATGATCAGTGATTGGGCTCTATCTGAGACGACAGTATTGAAGAAATGTATACATATTTGCGTGTACATGTACATGTATATGTTCACAATTATTTTCCCTATTTTGTACTTTTTGTTTTATGCATTCCATCCAATTATCTACTGGAAGAACATTCCAGAATCTCAAAGTGTAGCTTCCCCATTGCACGAATTCTAAAAACCACTGTATTTGGATTGGATGACTATATTGATGCTTCTCCTTTACTAAAAACTATGAATAATTGGGAGTTTTGTACCGTATTTGACACTGTTTGGAATAACATTCCTCCTAACTCATTTTCTATCTTCTCAATTGAGACTTGGAGGGTTCTAGCGTTCGAGTACTCAATTAGTACATAATATATCAATACGGTTATTAGTTCTATACATAATAGACTACCTTAAGCTGTTTATTTGCTTTTGTTTGTGTGTGTACTATTACGTCATCATTTTATGGTCACTACTAATTATTCTTTTCAATTTGTAATCCCGATTTTAGAATAATGCTATTAATTCCTCATTTATAGAACATTTTTTTGATTACCTTTTTACTTTTGTTGTTTTGTCTTCAGTTCCTTAATGCTTTTTTTTCATCATGTCTTTTATTGAAACTAATTGTTCATACATTTAATATATGAATTGATGAGTCAATTGAAGCTCGATCAGCGTCGAGAACCTGGAAGTATTAGACGGCCGTTTCGTCCTAGCATGGGACTCCTCAGCATTGTGCATCCACGATCCCACCTTGCGAGATCCGAACCCAAGACCTATTAGTCTCGCACACGAACGCTTAACCTCTAGACCACTGAGCCGGCATCCAACGATGTTGATGTCTAACTTCAAACAATCCACGAAATTGCGCCACCGTCCACCATTGTTATCAGTGAGTTACTATCTCACTACAGACCCGGTTGTACTCCACTGGTCATGGCTTCTCACTGGAATTCCAGGAAATACCTCAATTGACTCATGTAGTTAACTATTAAATTACTATGATATCCGTAAAATTCCCCTCTCTGTACATATATTTGTCGTGATATAACTCTTAGTTATTCTTATTCTAAAGTCTGTCTTCTCATGCTTTGATTTACTACGTATTTTGTTGTATCTTTCTTTTTATTGGTTATATAATTCTATGTATTACAATTATTTATGCAATACATTGTAGCATCAGTTCCCATGTTAATCCCACATACTTTATTCTAGCTTCTGGACAGGTCAGTTTATCCATTCGTTTTGACCTTGTTAATTATTCACTTATCAACCCTGACCACTTTTATATGAGCGTATATGTGTGTACACTTCTTATCCCATTCATCACATATCTGTAAATTATTTTTGTGTAACTATAAATATTGCTTAACACTTGATTAAATGAAGTTGGCTTACCTGCCTTCTCCATTGAGCGTCATTCCGCTTCTCTCTCTTCTATTCCATCCATCATTCTCATTTCCTGTCTAGATCAGAGAGTGTACAAAATGTATGTATACAGAAATCCATTCTTGTATTTGGCTTATTAATTACCGTTATTCACCAATGCGATTTAAGTCGATCAAATATACAAGGACACCCAGGATGCATATTTTGACAACAATCATTCAGACGATTATAACTGAAGTCAGATCCCGAGCCCCTATAATATTTTATTACCTTCATTTTATAAACAACTGTCATCTGTTTTCATATTTTTCATATATCCATATAGATAACACTGTTCCATTAGAGTAAATCCTAACGAAGTTCTAGTTAAAAACAAGAATGTTCATATTATATCAAACTTTCTTATGCTTGGTCCTATTATGTAAGTTTTTTGTATATACACAATTTATGAAATCAATAGGTCTAAAATTCGCTAAATTTGGCAAAATCACTGCGTTATATATTTTGCTCGTTTCATAGGCTTATCCGGTTTGTTTATAAAAGTATATGGTTGTAGAGTCAGGCGATCGTCTCTCACATCTTAGATAATGTAATTTACAAAACAGATTCCTATGAAGTAGCCTCCTTCTTATTGGTTTCGAAATACCAGCTTTCATCGTACTACGTTGATTATTCGAAACTTCCGAATGACCAACTCGCAAGAGAAAAACTGGTCCCTATTCAGGACTCAAGTTCTCATAGACCACATCATCAGCGTCCGCTGAATGGCGGAACACCCTCGTATCTATTGAAGGTCAGCAGTCGCCTGGGACTCTAACCAAGCATAAAACACTAGATATCGAAATTAGCAAATTCTATCAGAAATAAGGAAACGAATTATCAACTGCAAGGTTACAATTCGGGTCGGGAGAGAAAGCGTTCAGTCTCGTTGATTGTTTCGGAGAACCCGATCCCCTTCCTTCAGTATTTTTCGTACTATCCCCTGCAATATAAGTTGACATTCTTTACAATCGCGAAACTAGAAATCACTCGCTGGCCATCAGCAAGTATATCAGCCAACTTAAAAATCTAGGCTGGGTAGTTGCTTACCACTTAAAATCAAGTTTGAAATACACACAAAAACCAAGAGGATAAACAAAGTTCGATAAGTGACAACCCATATCGACATATCCATAATTAAATTCCTTCCTTACTGCTGGTTCCGATCCTAGACACGCTTTATTTGGGTTTACGAAATGTTATTCTTGCTCCGCTAAAACTGTAATTCAAACTACATATCAAATCTCCCAATGTCCTAAACCTTATGTGAAATCGGATACCAGGCCTTGTTAACTAGAACTCGAGAACCTTGTACCATTGACAAATGCTGCATATCCAAAACACATGATTTAAGTGTGGCTATTTATAGAGAACCAGTGAGACTCATCCTTCACGCTGAGAAAGATGAGTTTAAGGGGGAAGTTTCTGACCTCCGTCGGGAAGTGATTGCAGCAGGTGATTTTAGTGTCTGAGTATGTAGGCTATATCAAAACGAAAGGATAAGAAAGGTAATTTATCTGCCTAACAACTATCTGCTCCAGCCATGATTAGACAACCGTCTTTTCCAGCAAGTATCAATTATAAGCACAAGGCGAAGTAACGTCTGACATGACCTGCACACCATTGTAGAGATTGAACAGGTTGTCGTTTTTTTCTGGTACACAAGTTTGATCTCTAGTCATGAGTACAGGTACATTCTTGCCTGTCGTATTATAATTAAAACAAAACACTATACTTAGGATTCTAGGCACTAATTTGAAAAATCTACCTATGGATTAAGATATCTATTAACCAAACAGTGAACGAACTGCAAAATAGGTCTCCTTACTACTGTATGACTGTGAAATATAGCCTTTCATGATAGTAATTTCAAGTTGTACTTTTTGATCGTAGGTGTTATGTTGTATCCTCTTTAATAATATTATCTCCGTTCTTCTTATACCTTGTTGATTTTATCTTGACGTTGTGATGCGATATAGTGACTCGGGCTGACCTATATTTGTGCTAAACTTTTTATTATAACTGAGGCTCTACAAAATATTGCTAGCAATATTCGACAAGTTAATATGAATGGTTTTCAGGTAGTGTAAAAGGAATCTAAGCGGTATTGATGAAGAGTTGAAAGGAAAAACGATCTTGAAAATTACCAAGCGCAGCTTATTTATTTAAATCATAGCTTTAAGTAATCGATTTATATAGGTTTCTCGGTTGCCGAAATCACCACCTTCGACAAAGTGCTTTCCTTTCTTGCGAAAACCGCCACTAGGATTGTTCAACTTGAATGTCCATAGAAAAGCAACAGCATGTTTGAAGTTTGGTCCAACGGTATATATTTCATGTACAAGGTCCTCAACGCATATTAAACCAAGATGTCCAAGTTTGTGTTGAATTAGCTCATTTGTTAAAGGGAGCCGTGTACCATGGTACTTACAAAATCCGCGTTTATAAATGAGTTGACGAATAATTTTAAGACTAGGATAACCCCAAGCGACGTATGGATCAATTATTCGAAGCATGTTAAGAGTTGCCTGTGCAATAATGATAAGAGAAAAGTCGGAACTACCTTATTTAATCGTACAAACATCCCGTTGTTGATTTGCCGAAGACGAAAAAGCTGCATAGTCTTTCTTGGGCGTGGGTGGACACCGTTAATACCCCGAATTCGCACGACAAATGCGAGTTTTGGTTCAGCTGGAACATAGAAGTCTCCCGTCTTCTTAGCATTACGTTGCAACGTGATTTCCCGCTTTGCCATTCTGCGGTACTCCTGAAAGTCATTATGTTGCACAGAACTTACATGCATGTATTTTTCCGCTCGTTGCTTCATGAGAGATTTTAACCGCATATAAGTTTGTCGGCGTACCACCTTTTTACGAGCCACTGTGATCAATTTTCGTCGTCTTATCTTTTCCTTCAAGCGGAGACCCTCTGGTTTCTTAGGTCTCTTGGGAGTAGCCGACTGAGCATCATTTTTCTTTCTAAATAAGAACAAGAAATGTAGAGTTAGTGCAAGTAGCAAACCTATTTACAGAGTCAACGATTAGTGCTTTTGCAGACATCAAGATATCACAAATAGTGATCATAAAATAAGGTGAAGCTCCGCTTTCAACTGAAAATGTAATGACCGTCTTATAATGCTTCTAATACAGAAGGAAACTAACTATACATCACTGAATGATACTACAAAAATAGAAAACATGGTGAACGACACCTTAACAATGAACTACAAGAAAGGTCACAACTGCCTACAGTGATGGCAATAAACCAGACGAGTTGGTATGTAATGATCTTGAAAAACAGGTCAGTAGTTATCGTCTCTCTAATCTGCTATAACAACTTAAACTACCAAGTCTTACAGAACTCGCAATCTTTGTCTATACATCTAAGGGTATAATTTAAAACATTGTGTTTTGAATAAACTTTAGATTTCGGTAGAAAGCAGCGGATGAACAATTGACTTTATTGCTTGTAAGGTTGGAGAGACAAATGACGCTAACGAGGGTTACAGTACAACTAATGGACTTAGTGGTATGTTTTAATATACAATGTCAAGCAATATTACGGCGTGCTTGACTGAAAAGTAGGAGTCAGATTGACGATCGTAGTCATTATTCAGGCCTGAGCAAGTCTTTTCAAACTCAATCTAGCTGCGAAAACAATCTTATGCCCTCTTGTTCAACAAAGAAATAAGATTTGGAACGATTTCAATCACTAACTATAAATTAGGCTTCAAGTTCAATCACTGAAACAAATATAACTTCTCATTCTAAAAGTCTTTCAGTGATTTGACCATCAACCACTGTGAAATTATTCGTTTGGATGACAGCTTTATGAATGGTAGCCATTACGTAACAGGACACAAGTGTGATCTAACATAACTACCAAAATACATATCGTCTAATCCTAAGACTATGGGGAGGACTTGTAGGGGATGACTCAAATTACTACGATCGGATTGAAAGCATAATCCTAGAAAATTTCGAAAATTTGATAGTAGTTACGTATATGAACTATTTTCCTGAAGTAACTTGATACGTCTAATTAGAAACTTATAGGATTAAAGTAAACAGAATTTTACTTTACAAGTTTTTCTGTGGTAATTAACCATAAAGAACAGAAACAAACATCAACTACATTAAAGGAGTGTGGTGCAACATGGACTTACACGTCTGACATAATGCGCTCACGTTGGTATCCAACAGACGACAAACTGTCACGCTGAAGATTCAAAGACACTAACAGGCGCCAGTTGGGAATACAAAGTAGTGTCTTCAATTCCCAATCTTCGTTAAGTGGAACCAGTAAACAGAGTATTTCCTGGAATTCACATTTAAGATATCGTAACTCAATTTTAGCTAGGATGATCAATAGACACCTTCGAATAACAATGAGTAAATTGATTAGTATCTGCTCTTTATACAGATATTTCAAATGGTTCAAATGGTTTTGAACGGAATAAAAGAAGCTTTTGCTTAACGGGCTTCCGCGTCTAGTAGCAGTGGATCACCAGTACATCCAGGCAGGAACCTAGGTGCATTATCGATAAGAGAGGAAAAATAAATTGGTAAATCATAGTATGAATATGTTAAGTTTTCTAATAAAGGACTCCTGGGAAGTCAGTTGGACTAGCTCATCCGGCATTTGACCACTCTTAATGAGTAGAAGTTGCGTCTACAGTCCGTTCTGCTGCTTTTTCTCTTCAGCTTTTGGGTGTTCTCCCTTAGGTTTGTGTTGGAACTAAACATAAGTAAGTGTTTAAGAGGATGTCCATGAGTATTGAAGATGCTATAAGAGGTCACCTATAAGACGCTTATACTCTAATGGGTAAAAGTTCACTGACTGGAAGCGCTTTTCATGAGGCTTGAATTTGAGTCTCCAAACTGATTTCGTGGCTCGCCCTTGGATACGTTCCAGAGTGTCCTCATCCTTTTGGAGTGAGGGAGGAGATATTATGTTTCCGTACTCTAAATGGGGACGAATAAAACTGTTGGAGGTTATGTGGAACGTTTTTCCGTCAAACTGGCATGAAATGCTCTCCATTGTTGCCAGTGTAAGGTTTGCTTGAAAGGCATTTCTGTCGCATCTGGCATAAGACCTCAAATCGTGGGATACCAACACTCCTTGACCTCTTTCATTTTAGGATGCCTCTAGGGAGAGTTGCCTAAGTTGTATTTGTGGTCTGCAGCATATCTCAGATGAACTTCTTTACGCTATGGAGTGTTATAGGTAAGTCTGTTGTCATCTGCTCAATTTTGAAGTCCAGTCAGATCCTCCAGAAGTGCAGGTTATACTCTTGGTTGTGTATCTTTCTCTTCAAAGTTTCACATCATCAGCAAAAAGTAATAGGTCTGATGATACAGATTATGAATACAGTGATCTTCAGTATTGTTAGAGGTATGAGGTTGGTTATCACTTCCCGGTTGACCACACCGTGGAAGGGTTCTTCTGGAGGTATCTGAAAAAAATGGGTTAGAGGTGGCCTTAGTGGCCTGAGGGGCTAACCACAGTGCCTAAGGGACAAATGCTTGAGGTCGGTCACACACGACCTTTTTGTGGGTGATTTTCGTGTTAGCTCCGTGCTTGTTGAGACCTTACAGCCGGAGATGGATATCCGTGGGATAAGGCGAGGTGTACATTTTTAGGGTCGACCTTTCCTAACCACACCCCTCTTTGTGGGAAAGCAGTATCGCTGTTATGCTGGTGGTCTGAAAGAAACACCTTACTGCCGTCACACCTCTGTACAGTCAACAGTACAACTTCGCCTTCGGACCTTAGATTTGCTGCTTTCAGTCTTGCCGCTCTTCAACCGACCTGTCTGGCATGGTAGGACCTTGAGGAACGATTGTTCCAACCAGTATAACTCGATTGATTCGTCACGATAGGCAAACTGTTGGGGTGAAATGAAGCATAAACACAATAAATAGTTGTGTATACCGACGCTTATCAGGGACTCCATAATTTTTGAAGGTCTAGAGAGAAGTGCTACCGATCGGAAACTTGAAGGTTTGCCGAGTCGTCCTCTTTTGAGAATCGGTGTGATATGAGCAAGATTCCAAATTTCCGGTAATGTGCTTCGCCTTAGCGAGTGTGAGAACATCACATTAAGCGGTGTTGCCAATATTGGAGCAGCTTTCTTCATCATAGGAGAATGAACCATATCCGGACCAGGAGGAGTGTCCTTTTTTAGGCGCTACAGTTTGCGGTACATCAAGTCAGCGTTGAGGTTCACTCCTATGCAGTAAAGCTTTTCAATTTTTGTTGTTGACAGCTTTAATATATTGCTCCAATGACTCATTTATTTTATAGTTTTAGCGTCGAAGACTGGTTATGAGTCTTCAATGTGATTTCTTGATGCTGGAATCTCGAAGTAGAAAGTGGCTGAACTGGAGATTCTTGTATTTTACAAGTGGATTAGCTTGCAACTTCAGATGATAATTAAATCGCTAAGTGTTTGTTAGATTAATCATTAATAAACAGATGAACCATAAATGGTAAGTGAGTAAACGACGGTGGATAGAAATGTGATAAAAAATATCGTTCAATATATTTAGATAGGAATCAGCCATGTCTTCGTAGCAGATTGTCCAAAGTAACTGATTTACTATATAATTTTGAGGAGACGTTCAAAAATCGTAATCATGATCTTCTAACGCCACACGTTTCGTAATGACAAAACTTTTTTCTGGTCCGCAAATCTACAGATAACATACCACTCATCATTACGTTTGACCTCATTCCTACTGAGGGCATCAATCCTGGATTATAGTACAATAAATCTGTGGATGCTCTCCCGGCTCCACTTGAAATATTTAAAAGTTACGTAGTACCTTAACGAGGAACGTTTTATGGTCGTTCTGTCAACACATTAACTACACAGATGGTGGAGAAAAGTCAACTACATCCACCTTTTGTTAGGTTTTGAAAGAGAGAGAGAGAGCTATCATGGGTTCACGTAGTTGCGAACGAGAACGAGATTCAGTGACCAACGACCAGTAAGCTATCTATTGACGCGTCCCAGCCCCGCTATCTAGAGTGAGAAGACCAAGCTTAGAATGAAGTATATTCTGCAACCACCAGAAAACCAGCAAACTTTTTACAAGACAATTTCAAAACGTATATATACAATTATATATACATCGATATTGTCATGGAGCTTTGAAACATTTAATCGATAGTTCGTCAATTGACTGCCATTGAAATATTTAAACATTTAATCGATAAATTCGTCAATCAACTATGTGCGTGGGCGGTAAGAAATGCCCACGTATACATCTGCATACAAGCTCCACAAGATAAATTACAAACTATGAGTTTTTGGGGATTTATCGTCCCTAACACTTCTCCCCTTTTTAGTAGCGCACTTTTCTAGGGTCGACTTGCATCCTGTCCGTTGCTCACCGTTGTCTGGGAGGCCACCTTCTGGAAAGGACACCAGCTTCTTGTTGAGCTTCTTCTAGTGGTGGGGCTGCTGGTAAGTTGAAGTTATCAAGCAGGATGTCAAGAGGGGGATTTGCTCCTGTTGATAGGCGGTCTGGCGTTATCCGCTTCCGCGGTTGGTTTCTGTGTCTAGTCCATGTGTCTCTTCCCACCTTTACCTCGTACATAACTTGGCCTAATCTTCCAACCACACATGTTTCGATCCAAGGACCATGGTTCGCTTTATAGTCTCGAGCGAACACCGGGCATCCAACCTCGTATGCTTGCAGTTTGTGAGATCTGGTCTGAAGTGGTGGTTGTGATGGTGTGGTTTTTGGGCACATCAGACTGTGGATCGTCCTCAATTTCCTTCCCATTAGGATCTCTGCTGGGGACTTCTGCTGTGGAAGCATATCACTAGGTGTTGTTCGGTAAACAAACAGGAAATTCTGCAGTGTTTCCACTGGTTTCCCCTCCCCTTCCGATTTCATTAGAGCTCTCTTGAATGTATCCACAAATCTTTCTGCTTGGCCATTTGACTGTGGGTGGTAATGTGGAGAGCGGAAATGCTTGATCGATAGGCGTTTGCAAAATTCTTGAAATTGACTTGAAGTGAACTGCGAACCGTTGTCGGATACAATCTGTTGCGGGAGAACACGTCTGTCAAAAATTTCATCATTTGGGTTGTCGTTGGTGGCATGACGGGAACGATTTCTGGCCATTTCGAAAAGGCATGAACAACGACTAAGTAGGTGACTCCATTAATTGGGCCTGCGAAATCGACATGTATCCTGGACCATGGATACTCAGGCTGTGGCCATGGGACCGGCAGTACTTTCGCGTTACACTTGGCCACTTGCTGACATTGTGTGCACTTGCCTACTGAATCCACGATATGTTGGTCCATGAGGGGCCAATAAGTATAGCTTCTTGCGATGGATTTCATTCGTTTTATACCCGGATGACCAGTGTGGAATTGCTTTAGCACCCTTGGTCTAAGGGACTCTGGTACCACTACTCTATCTCCAAACATCAAGCATTCATTTACGACACATAATGAGTCCCGACGGTGGTAAAGCTGCTTCAAGTCACCATCAAGTCCAGTTGGCGGCCAGCCGTTGGTGACGTACTTCATCGCTCTCTTTATGATGGAGTCGTTCCTGGGTGCTGATTGTATTTCAGCTGCTGTGACTGGCAAGGCACGAATAGCGGTTGTCAGATAACATTGCGCGTGGTCCTCTGTCATTAGGGAGGAAATAACTGTATCTTCGTCCGCCGTATAGTGTTTGCTGATAAGTCGTGACAAGGCGTCCGCCTGACCAAACTGTTGAGTGCGCCGGTACTGGATGTCAAAATCATAACCCAAAAGTATCAAAGCCCATCGCTGGAGATGGTTTGCAGAATGAGCTGGTACACCAGATTTCGAACCGAAAATTGTGAGAAGAGGCTTGTGATCCGTGAGAAGAGTAAATCTTCGACCATAAAAGAATTTATGGAAACGGCGTACTGCAAACACAAGGGCAAGAGCCTCTTTCTCTATTTGACTGTATTTTCTTTCCGCTGCGGTTAATGTGCGAGATGCATGCATAATTGCTTTCTCTGTTGCGTCGGGGAACTGATGAGAAATGACAGCACCGAGTCCAAAAGCTGAAGCGTCTGCAGCGACAATGATAGGCATGGACGGATCGTATGCAAGCTTTCAGCTTGCAAAATGCAGCTTCACATTCTTTTGTCCAGTTCCAGCAAGTGTTCTTATTCAGAAGATGATTTAGCGGGGCGCGTATGTTATACATCGACGGAAC